GCAGGAGGGCACACACTCGGGCTTGCAGCTCACGGGCACGCACACGGTGGGTCTGCAGCTCACGGGCACGCACGTGGAGGACTGGCAGGAAGGCACACACTCGGGCCTGCAGCTCACGGGCACGCACACGGCGAGTCTGCAGCTCACGGGCACGCACACGGGCTTGCAGCTCACGGGCACACAGCAGGACGCCTGGCAGGGGCCGGAGGAGCCGCAGGAAGCCTGGCAGCCCGCGGAGCAGCTGGTGTGGCACATGTTGGCGTGGGGCTCGGCTGGTGTCCGGGAGGGAGGAGGGCGGGGACGTCTGGAGGCTCCTTGCCTGGGCCGCCTTTATACCAGGCCGTGGGCGTCCTGGCCACCCAGAGGCACAACTGTGGACTTCCTCATGGCTGTTTCCGCCACGTTTCCCCAACACCCTCTTGTCCTGAGACACCCTCCCCCATGTGATGCTCCGCTGTAAATTATGTTTAGCTTAGAGGCCAGTTTCTTCTTCTGTAAACAGGACGTCCTGGTTCGACTTTACTTGGGGTCCGTGTCACTTCTCCAGGCCAATACTGTGCCTGGAGCGCCAGCGGTTCAACTCAGCGCCGAGCCTTTATTCCTTTTTGCCTTCAGTGGAGGCTTTGGGGCAATAATGTGTTTTGAGCTTTTATTTTGCACGGGAAAACATTAAAGTAGGGATCTGCAAACTGGGGAGCAGAGAAGTCTGTGGGACAAAGGTGGCCTGCCGCCTGTTTGGCAAATAAAGTTTTATTGGAAACGGCCCTGCTCGTTTGCTTACGCGCCGTCTAGGGCTCGCGCTGTAATGTGAAGTGGTTATGAGACCGACCACGTCACTGCAGAGGCTGAAACATTTACTGTCTTCCTTTTATAGAAAGGTGACCGACTTCTGCCTTATAGCCACCTATGTAATCATCGATTTGTTCGTGCAACAGACATATACTTTGTGCTGGCTATAGAGATGTCCTGGCCTCATGGGCCTTCCGGGGCAATGGATACATGAGTGCGTACAAATCAGCGCCTGAAATAATTACAGAGAGGGCCGAGTCCCAGAAAGGAAAGCAGGCTCAGCAGGTAGAGAGTAATGGGGTGTTGGTGGGTGGTTGGGGGCCTCTGTGTGGAGGCGGCGCTGAGCTGGCTCCTGGGAGATGCGGAGGGGTCGGGAGGCGGTGTTCCAAGCAGAGGCAGCCGTGGGAGAGTTAACGACACTGCTGCAGGATGGGCATGCTCCAGGAGCAGCGGGAAGCGTGGATGAGCGCGGTGTGGATGCTCGTCTTTAGGTGCGGGCGGACGGGTTCAGACCGTGCAGCTGGGGGTCCAGGCATCCCAGTCCTGGGCCGACAGAAGAAGAAAGACAATGTCAACTTGAAGACACGTCGGGAGGAATCATCCAATCCGAAGAAGAGAGAACAGAATTATGAAAAATGAAGAGGGTCCCTGGGACAATATCGGGAAGTCGAACAACAAGCAAGTTCAACACAAGAAGGAGAAGAGAATGATACTGAAGCACAAGAATGTTTTGAATAATGGGCAAAATACCCAAATTTGATCTATTAAAAAAATAGATACCTTCTACCTAATAGATATGCTTCTACCTAACAGCTCCAAGAAACTCAGAAACCCCCCAAAGCCCCAGCATAATTTGGCCCAATGGTGAGGACCACGGACTCCAGAGTGAAACCCAGCAGCTTCCAATTCCTGCTGCTTGGCCGCCCCGGTGAGAATGTGCACACAGCACAGAATCCTTCCGAACCTAACTGCACATCCGTGTAACTGGGGCACACCTGCCCCTCGAATGGTGGCAGGGACCGATAACTAATCAGTTATGAGACGATCCACGTGAGATGCTTAGCACAACACCCGGCACAAAGCTGGGACTCCCTCATTGTTATTCTTGCAATAACGTGGCCACAGCTCTCCCCGATGAGGAACCCAGCCGCTTGGCCCTGGCCAGGGGGGAAGGCGTTGTAGATCACTGAGTTTCCAAATCAAAACGGGGGGACCGCCCCCACCCCATCCCCCCACCCCGGGTCTGGTGACTGGGATGGTACTTGTGTGGACAAGGGGCAGGGTGTATAAACTTGGGGAGGACCTTGAACGTCCTGATGTGGAGTCCCCTGTCCCTGCTGACGGTCCTTGGCCATCCAACCTGGGGTCTGAATCCAGAAATCGCAGGGCCGCTGGGTCACAGGGAGCCTGGGGGCTGAGACAGAGTTTCCTGAACTGAGTCACTTCCAGCAGAACCTCCAGGAAGAGACGCACACAGGAGGAAGAGGAAGAAAAGCAGGCAACCAGGAGGAGGGCACCTGTGTGGCTTGTTGCCAGGACGCCACAGCCTGGGTATAA